CACTCTATAGTATATTCTACAGTGCACTCTATAGTATACTCTACAGTACACTGTAGATATGGAGCATTATAGAGTGTACTACAGGACATACAACAGGTAGTAGGAATCCCATGGTACACTCTGTAGTACATCTTAATACAGTATGTACTACAGAGTGTACAATAGGAACCATATGGTACACCTGCAGTAAAATTTAGTACAACATGTACTATAGGAAGTACTACAGGTTGCATCATTTTGTGTACTGTGGATCCTGTGAAGCGGGTCTGGTACCTGGTAGTCCAGGATACTGAAGCCGAGGCCTCTGTCTCTGTCTTTGTGCAGGTCCACCACCTGAACATCAGGAGACCACAGAGCCAGCTCTCCTTCATCCTCCTCCTCCTCTTCATCCTGACTGGAGACAGAATCCTCCTCCAGAACCTCCTCCTCCTCCTCCAGAACCTCCTCCTCCTGCTTCAGAACCTCCTCCTCCTGCTTCAGAACCTCCTCCATCGGAGGTTCCTCCTCCTCCTGATGCTGAAACATTTAATCAAACCTCTTCAGTTTTTAGTTTAAATAATAAAAGCAGGGTGATGAAGACYCGTTTGGTACCGACCCGTTTRGTACCGACCCRTTTGCCATCATCCCTCAGAAGAACYGAGGACAGCTTCAGCTCCATCTGACACAGACAAGAACAAAGTTCTGATCCAAGTTTTGGTCTGTCGTATCTGAGTGATCAAACAAACTGCTCTCACCTCATCGACACTGCTTTGGGCTGGTTCTGGTTCTGGTCCTGGTCCTGGTTCTGGTTCTGGTTCCAGCTCAGAGGTCAGCAGTCTGCAGCAGACCAGAGTGAACGGAGGAGGAACCTCTTTGAGGAAGGAGACGGCCTCACGCCTGGTCTTCCCGTAGAGCTGGACCCCGTTGACCTTCAGAGGAACAGATGATGGTTCTGATCCAGGCCCTGATCAGACTCTCACTGGTTCTGGTTCTGGTTCTGGTCAGGGTTTCTGAGACATTTACCTCCAGAAGCTCGTCTTCGGGCCTCAGGACTCCGTGCCGGTCCACGGGGCCCCCGGGGGCCACAGAGGAGATGTAGTGATGTCCGTCAAACGAGTCCAACTCCACCCCGAGACGCAGGATGTGGATCGGCAGCAGCTGGGTTCAGACAGAAGCAGAATCAGAACCAGAACCAGAACCAGAACCAGAGACTAAAGCAGGTTCTCATCATCAAGGTCCACTTCAGTCCATCAGTCCAGACCTTAGAGGACTTCTGCAGTTCTTCATCGTCCTCAATGACCGGGTCCAGCTTCAGAACCTGACAGAACCCAAACAGACATGAGGTCCGATCAGTGTTCAGGACCAGAACCAGGAGGAGTTCTGAGCTTAGACTCACCAGGACTTGGTACTGAGGTCCCAGAGCCTGCCCCCACTTAGCCCGGAGTTCTGCCTCTGAGGATGCAAACACACAGACCCCTACTGAGACCAGAACCACAACTGGACCACAACCGGGCCTTCATGTAGGAGTGACAGATCAGAACTGAACCAAAGGTCCAGCTCAGAGTGGTTGTTGGTACTGAACAGAACCCACTCCCAGGTTCTGCTGCAGTCTGAACCTTCTCCAGCGTCCTACAGGACCAGCCCGTTAAGATCCAGCCATGAAAGAAAAGACGAGCAGTAAGCAGAACCAGCAGAACGGGCCGGGCCGGGCTCAGGCACAATGTTTAATGCATGTGAGCAGAATAAATGATGGTCCAGCTGCAGAGCGAGTCAGAACCAGCTCCTCAGGGTGGACCGCTGGGTCAGCAGCTCCATCTCACACGTCTCCTCCCCTGAGAGACGGTTCTGAGAGACGGTTCTGAGAGACGGTTCTGAGAGACGGTTCTGAGGAGTTCTGAGAGACACTTCTGAGAGACGGTTCTGAGAGACGGTTCTGAGGAGTTCTGAGAGACACTTCTGAGGGGTTATGA